TTTAATAGATTCTTTATATAATATATCTTCTCTTTTCTTTTTTACTTTTTTCTCTAATTCTAGCTTATATATATATTAGTAAAGTAATAGTAATATCTAATAATATAAGTAATAAGCTTTATTATAATATTATTTATATAATAAGTCCTCTTATTTTAAAATTTTAAAGATTACTAATATTTCTTTTTTAATTTCCTCTATATACTTTTTAATTTTAAAGATTTTAATAATTTCTTTTTACTTTATTATTTTAAATATTTAAAGTTTTTTAAAATAATATCTAGCTTCTTTTTTCTTATTTTAATAGATAATATAATTATTATTATAATATATAATTATAATAAGCTACACTATCAAGAAGCTTTAGTAGATACCTAAGCTAACTAATCTTTACTAAGTATTACTTTTAGTAATCTATTTCTAATAAAAGACTTCTCTCTAACTAAGTTCTAATTATATTCTATTTTCTTCTTCTTTTCTTTTTCTTATTAAAACTTTCTTATATAATAGGCCTCCGTTAAGTAGTACTATTTAACTAAACCCTTGTATTAGGTTTTGATTAGCTATAAATAATAAAGAAGGATTAGAGTTTAGCTTTTATAATAACTATAATAAAATAGAGCTCTATTTTTAATAAAAATATAAAGAAAAAATTAGAGCTCAATTTCTTATAAAATATAAAAAGAAAATTAGAGCTTTATTCTCTATAGATTATAAAGAAGTTCTTATTTCCTATAACCTAGGTTATAAAAATAAAAAGATAATTAAATATTATTAAGTAAATTAATAATAATAATAATAATAAAGATAGTAAATAATATATTTATAAGGTTTAGAGAAGTTTTTAAATAATAAGATCTCTTTATAATAATTATAATTTAACTTTAATATATTATTAAAAAATAAACAAAATAAAAAAATATATATAAAATCTAAATTAAAATATTATAAGAAAATATAATATAATTAATTTTTTAAGCTTTTATTTTTATAATTTATATATTTAATTTTAAATATAATAATAATAGTAATAATAATAATATTAAAGATATTATTTAATTATAAAATATATAAAAACTTTAACTTACTTTATCTAATTTTTTTAAATTTCATAAATATAGAAATAAGTTTTATATATAGCTATTTAAAATAATAAATAAATTTTATATAGATATTAAAGTTATTAAAGATAATAATATCTAGTTTAGCTATATATTTTCTTATTTAAACTTAACTTTTTAGTAAATATATATTATTTATATAAAGTTTAATATCTTTTATAAGTTTTTAGAAGATTTTTTAAAATACTTTTATAATTATTATAAAAACTTAAATAAAAAAAAAGCTTTAAATAAATTTAAAAAACTTAAGTAAAAAAAAAACTAGTTTTTTATTTACTTTTATTTTAAGTTTAAAGTAATACTAGCTACTATAAAAAATAATTTAAAATAATAAAGTTAAAAAAGTAAACTTAAAGCTAATATTTAATAATAAGATATAAAAAATAATTACTAATTAGATTTTAATATTTAATAACTATTATAAATATATTAAAGCTCTTTAGAAATTAAGTTTTTAACTAGAAAGCTTTTATATAGAAAAGAAAGACTATTAAAACTCTTTATATATATTAAATATAAAGACTAAAAAAATTAAATAAGAATTTATACTAGTTAATATTAAATTTTATTACTAATTATTTTCTAATTAATTATAAAAAAGATATTTAAAAAAAGAAAATAATATTTTAAAAAAAAAGTAAATTAAGTAAGTAGATATAAAAAAAAATAAAAATACTAATAAAAAGAAAATTATTATTATTAATATAAAAAATAATAATATAAAATTAATATTTACTTATTATTATTTACTAAAAACTTTTATTAGATATATATAGAAAAAACTAAACTTATTAAATCTTATTAAATTAAAATTAAAAAAAAATAAATTATAAATAAATTAAAGTAATAATTTAAAAAATTTAAGAAAAAAATAGTTTTTATTAATAGTTACTTATAAAAATAAAAGTTTCTATAAAATAAATTATAAAAATTAAAAGTAAAATTTAATATAAATATATTTTATATTAATTTTAAAATAAATAATTTTTATTATATATAAACTTTTATTAATATAAAATATTTAAAATATAATATTATTAGTAAAGCTTTTACTAACTAAGTAAAAATAAAGTATATTAATATTATTTTTTAATTTTTTTAAAAATTACTTTTTAATAATATTATTATTAATTAAATTATATATAATAATTTTAATATAAATAGTTATAAATAAATCAAAGTTTTCTTTTATATTATTTTTAATTAAGTAGGTAATATTATTTTTAATTTTTAATAAATAAGATTATACAAAGTAATTATTAATATAATTAAAAATAAATTATTATTAGATAATTAGTTTCAAATTAAAATTAGAGATAATATTAAAAAAAATAGTAAATAGAAAGCTATATAAATATTAATAGCTATATTTATAATATTAATATAATAATTTTAAAAAAGAAGAAGTAATAAAAAAGAAAAGAAATATTAATTAAAAAAATCTTTATAGTAGCTTATATATTTTCTACTTTATTAATAGATATTAAAAAAGCTTTTACTTATAAAGTTATTATTAATTTAAAAATAAAGTTTTTAATTTATTATTATAATTTTCTAAATTTATTTTAAAAGTTTAATATTAATAAGTTACTATTTTATTATTTTAAAATTAACTATATTATTAAAGTAGAAAAAGATATATAAAATAAAGATAAAGTTATATTATAAAGGCTTTTATATAATATATTATAAGAAAAACTTTTAGTTTTATAGAAGAATTTTAATAAATTATTTTAAAAAAAACTTTATCTATATAAGTAATTTACTTATTATAATATTAATACTATTTATTTAAAAACCTAGTAAAGAACTTTATTTCTATATTAATTACTAAAAACTAAATATAATCTTAAAAAAAAATTAATATTTACTTTTATTAATTACTAAAACTTATTAATAGTTTTCTAAAGTAAAATAGTTTATAAAGCTTAATATATTGATAGTTTTTTATAAAATAAAGATTAAAAAGATAATAAATAGAAAATAACATTTTAAATATATTATAAACTTTATAAATAGCTTATAATATTATTTAGCTTTATTAAAGCTTTAGTAATATTTTAATAATATATTAATTTAATATTAAAAAAGTTTTTAAATAAATTTATATATATTTTTATAAATAATATTTTAATTTATATTAATAGTTTACATACTAATTATAAAAAGAAAATATAAAAAGTCTTTATTAAGCTTAAGAAAATAGGATTATATATTAATATTAATAAGTATAAATTTAAAATTAAAAAAATTAAATATTTAAACTTTATTATAAAAATAAAAAAAAGTATTTAAATAGATTTTAAAAAAATTACAATAGTTACTTTATTTTACTATTTAGATATTTTTATTTTATTATAATATCTTTAGTTAATAAAGCTAATATAGCTAGTTTAATTATTTTAAATATTATTAACTAAATAGTTTTAAATATTTTAGCTAATATTTCTAGCCTACTTAATATTACTAGTAAGCTAAACTAGAAAAGCTAGAAGTTAATTTTTAATTAAAATAGTTTTCTTCTTTTTTTCTAGTTCTTCTATTTTTTTTCTTATCTACTATCTTTCTTAATTTATTTCCTTTCTTTTTTTCTATTTTCTTCTTTTTTTTTTACTTTTTTTTCTTTTTTCCCTATCTACTTCTTTTATCTATATTTTAACTTCTTATTTAAAATATTAAGTAATAACTTAAAAAAAATATATAATAAGTAAAAAGAGAATATTAGTAAAAAAGAAGATATTCTTATAGTTTTAGAAGAATAGAAAAGTAGAAGAATATTATTCCTTATTATAAGCTATAATTATAATTATTTCTTTTTTTTTTCTTTTTCTAAAAATTAAGAAAAAAATAAATTCTTTAAGTTTTTAAAAGTTCTCTTAAATTTAAAAAAGCTAGATACTTTTTAGTCCTTTTTTTTAATTAACTTTATTATTATTATTATTTAAGATTATCTTATATAATAACTCTTAATTATTTTTTTATTATTTTTATATATAAAAGTATTTTTTATTTAATACCATAATAAAGAAAAAGAAGATATTAATAAAAAAAAGATATTCTTAAGATTCTATAAATATAAAAAAGTAGAAAAATATTATTTCTTACTATAATCTAGAGCTATAATTATTTTTTATCTTTTTCTTCTTCTTAAAAAAAAAGATTAAATTCTTTAATAAGTTTTTAAAGTTTTTTAACTATAATAGTTATTAGTCTTTCTTTTAATTAACTTTATTATCATTATTATTTTAAGATTATCTTATATAATAACTTTTAATAGTTCTTCTATTGATTTTATATATAAGAGTGTCCTCTATTAGACACTCTTATAATTTTTAACTTTCTCTTATTTAGAAGCCTCCTTTTAGTTATGATACAGCCCTATTCCTATTGATCAACTATTTCCAGCATCCCTTTTCTATTCCTACAGGCAGAATTATAGCAGCTTCTTACAGGAACTATTCTAGACTAATTTAACTAACTGTTTCTTTTCTTATTTCTTGTAGTGTGCGGGCAGGCTGCACTGCCCCACTAGTCTACAGATCGGTCATAACACTATACTGCTATCTGTGTAATAAAAAAAACTAGGTAGTATAATAGCTGAGCGGTAATTGAATATGACGGGGTGGCTGGACCCCTAGATTTTAGCCTATCTAATCCTGCGGTCTAACCTACTCAGCCCTAACTACCTAACTGTTACGTTAGGTTCCCCGAGGCTTGCGACTTTTAAGAAGGAGCTCCGTGACCTGAAATCGTTAACAACAATAATATATTTCACGCGATATCGGCATGCTATCTAATGAAACAAACTCGCACTATCCTTGTAGCCCGTGAATAAATCCTAAGTAGAGACACGATCTGAAACTCTGAACTACAAGATCCTCAGACTGGAGGCGCAGGCCATTTATCCAGCATAATAGCATCGCCCTCAATCGTGAAAGTCATTGTCGTCAATGAAGGCTCATCAATGATAACCGTATACACGCCCGGGTATAGAACCGTATTCCCATTCTCATCATGGCGCGCCACATCGCCCAAAGTCCACTCAAGACTTATCGTGACTGTTTCTCCAGGCGTGACATTGCGCAGCCGAGAGTAGCTTGAGAGCGTTTTGAGCGGGTACGGCTCTGGGCCATACTTGCCGGACAGATAGGCTAGAACGACGTAGTCCGACGTTCGATTCCCGGCGTTGGTGACTTGCACTGGTAGCGCCGGAAACTCACAAGTGTCGAGGTATGTATTCTTACAATCGGCGACAAGATTTCCGGTGGTAAAATGTGTCGCAAACGAGGGCAAGATGGTAGCCGTGAAGGTGGTGTAGTGCAGACCGAAACCGAAAGGCTTGATCGGCGTCGGATACCATCTATACGTGCGGCCAGGACTTTTGCTCGACGGACGCAATGCCATGTCGGTCATGGGGATAATGGTGGTGTAGTTGGCCGGATACTGCGTGACGGGCAACCGTCCCGATGGACTCTTCTGCCCGCTAATCAGCTGCATGACAGCCGTTCCGCCATCCTGGCCGGGCCAGTTGGCCCACAAAATCGAGCTGACCCCTTCCATGTCCAGCACCGGCGTGTCATCCATCATGTCGCCCATGTGCACCAGAACAAGTGGTTTCCCGAGACTGCCCAGACTGTTCAACAAATCCAACTGTGCCGTGGGCCAGTCCAGCGCCTGCCGATCCTTGGTCTCGCCTGCTGAAGAAGTGTCCAGTCCGCCAAAGTACAAGATATAGTCCGAATCGCGCGCAGCCGCCAGCGCGCTTGCAAGCCATGGGCTACTCCCGCCTGTAGCCTCCTGAAGGATCGGCCCCGTGGCGACCTTTACATCCAAACCCATCTGCCTGGCAGCGTACACGGGCGTGTGCAAAAAGTACGGTGCCCCACTGTAACCGCCCGACAACTTTTCAGGTGCATCGGCCCAGAAACCAACCATAGCCACCTTGGACGACTGCTTAAGATCCAAAGGCAAGGTTCCGTCGTTCTTGAGCAGCACTATGCCCTCAACAGCTGCCTGGAGAGCGACCTGCTGTGCCTCGTGGTTGTTCACATCCCCCCAGCCGAGTAAAGCATGCGTTGACTTTGCGCCGTCAAAATAGCCGGCGCGAACCAGTCCCTCGTAAAGTCGACGAAGTGCCCTGTCTACTGTAGCTTGCTTCAGGAGACCTTGGCTCCAAGCTCCTGGTATGTCGGATGATCCAGAGTACTCGCAGCTTATATCCATGCCCGCGTCGAAGCACAGCGCCGTCCCCTCTGCATTCGTTCGGGCATAGTGGTGATTCGCCGACACGTCCAGCACAGCCTCGCAGTCGCTCGTTATGTAGTTATTGTGCTCCGTCCAATTCCAATGCCCCCGCAAAATTGTGTCCATCAAATACTTATTTGCGCAAGACGGGACTCCATTCACGGCGTTGTACGCGCACATGATGGACCCGACTTTTGAATCTCGCGCACATTGCTGGAATGGCATCATGTAGTACTCCGCCAGGTCTTGGAGTGTAATCTTTGCATTGAAGTTGTGCCGGTTCGCTCCGTTCCAATCCTCAAAGTCGTTGGCGGCGAAGTGCTTACACGTGGCCACAATCCTTCTCTGTTCCTCTGGTCCTTCCAACCCGCGAATCATAAACTTTGCGTAGCGCTTGATTCGGAGCACGTCCTCTCCTGGTGTCTCGGAGCCGCGGCCCCAGCGAGGATCCTTGTAAGGATTGACGTTGGGCGTCCAGTAGTCGATGCCCGACCAGCCTTCATTGCCAAAGGCTCGCCCCTCGATGCCGATTACGTTTCCAACCTTCTCAATCAGCTCGTCATCAAACGCCGCAGCCATCAGAACGGGCATCGGGAAGGAGGTCGATGAGTTGAAGGGCCCCGGAACATTTCGGAATTGCGTTCCAGGCGCGTAGGCGACCCCGTGAAGCGCCTCGCTCCACCAGTTATACGCCGGAAGTCCCAAGCGGCTGGCGCCGTTCGCCTTGCTACATTCGCCTCGTTAGTGCGGGTTGCAGGAAAACAAGTATATGCTTCGAAACGGTTACTTACGAGACTAGATTCTGCAGTTTCTCCTCAGCTGTCATGGCCGCAACCAGGGCCGCTGCCCGTTCGGACGGTGGCAATGACGTGTTGCACACTGCATTCCCCGCTAGATTGCCACTGGTGCAATCTGGGAAACGTTGGTTTTGAGCAGTAACCGTAACGCTCGTAACCAGGACGAGCATCAAGAGAGACTTCATGACTGCCAGACGTCCACGCCGATCCATGTCGCGCAGGCCAGTCGGTGCATGTAGGAAATTAAAGATAAAGCGTAAAGTTGACCAGAGATATGGGCAGGATGTGAAGTAATAACCGCATATCTTATGGACCACTTACACGCAGACACGCCTCGACCAGGAAATAACGACTCAGCGGCTCCCCTTATTGAAAGAGGGTCGTTTAGACGAACGTGCCGCCTCATTTGTGCGCATCCGGTGGTGCTCTTAAGTCCATTACTCGTTCCTGGCGCCTCCTTCCTTGCAGCTTTGATTGAAGGTGGTCTTGCTGCAAGGAAGAAAGCGCCAGGAATAGAATATGCTCTGTGCGCTGACCTACAAAGGCAGGGGAGAGCCCCACATTCTCCTCATTGTGCTCTGTAACCTTTTGGCACCCGTGGCCCGATAATTTAATCGGTAAAACGTGAAGCTTCAACGTATGCCGAACTTAAAAATCTTTTATTTAACAGGATTTTTCTATTATCACTTAGGTTTATATATAGTATAAGCACGGCAATAAATATATAGTTAATTTAACATTTCAGGCTTCTTCCTTTTTACTTGATATTAATCAACAATAAGCTCACCGGATGCGCACCAATGAGACGGGACATTCATCTAAACGACCCCTCTTTCAGTAAATGGAGCCGCTGGACCGGTCGTGTATAGTATGCCGACATCAGTGCCGACATCAGTGCCGACATCAGTACCGACCTCAGTGCCGACATCAGACATAGGGTGAATGGCCGCAGCCCATTACACTTAGCCATCATAGCTCGTGGATAAGAATACGTTTCAAATTATATAAATGTCCAAGTTATTCCTATGATGTGAGATAATTCCAAAGCAGACAGAGCATGTATAGTTGACGACCATGAAGCCCTCTCTCCTGTTTCTGGCCACCCTTGCAGCCTCGTCGCACTCCGTTTCTCTCGACAAACGGCAGAACACGGCATTGTGCGATCAGTACGCCTATTGGTCCGGCAACGGGTACGAGGTTAACAATAACCTCTGGGGGCGGGATGCCGCCTCCTCCGGGTCACAGTGCACGTACATCGACGGCACCTCGGGCGGCGGACTCCAATGGCACACCACATGGACGTGGAACGGCGCTCCCAACAATGTGAAGAGCTATGTCTATTCGGGGAAGCAGGTTGCCAAGGGTCGCACCATTAGTTCCATCAACAGCATGCAGACGTCGGTTACCTGGAGCTATGGCACCAACAATGTGCGAGCCAATGTCGCCTATGATATCTTCACGGCAGCGGATCCAAACCATGTAAATAGCAGTGGGGATTATGAGGTTATGATTTGGTGAGTTATGTCCCATCCCACATTAGCCTTGTGGCGTGGCTAAATGCTACCCTAATGCTAAATAGAGGGGCAATGAAGTGGTCTGACAAGCTTGCCACGCTTAATCCACGAACCAGGCTCGCAAGATTAGGTGATGTCTATCCTATCGGCGCGTCTACTGGCATGGTGACCGTCGCGGGAAAGACCTGGGATCTATGGATCGGCATGAATGGGAATATGAAAGTGTATAGCTTCGTCGCGCCTAGCACGATGAACAGCTTCAGTGCCGACGCAAAGCAGTTCTTCAACTACCTCCAGACAAACCAGGGCTTCCCAGTTTCGAGTCAATATCTTATTGGTGAGTCAACCGTTCCGTCCCGCCGGCGACCAGTCAAGACGCTGCCTTTGGCCAAGTTATAGCACCCTGTCTGGCAGGGACCGGCACACATGCGAGCATCTTTGCTGATCATCCAGTCTTCCAATTCGGAACCGAGGCTTTCACGGGCGGGCCGGCCACTCTAACTGTGTCGCAGTGGTCAGCAAGCATCTGATTCCATTTCCTTGGAAGAGTTCCATTGTAGCCTATCTCACATTTTACTTCAACAATATGAGCTTAGTATCCTAGGGACGGGTTTCGCTATATTACGCAAATCCTCTTTCCACTCCAGTGTTCTGCTGGCGCAGGAGGTGTGTCCAACCAAAATGGCTTAGTTCAGTCACTCAACTTTGCGGCTCCGTGATTGAAATGTAGTAGCGGGGATGATACGCCCAATTAATTGGCCTAGATTTAGAAAAGCATGAAGACCACACTGGCTGAACTATATAATAGGCTGTGGTAGAGAGTATCCTAAAGTGATGGATATAAATGTTCGCGGGAGGATGCGCCTAATACCATCAATAATTTTCTTCCAAAAGAACCGTGGATGTGGTCGGAAGAGTCCACGGCAGGCTTCTGATATGTCAAGCTTTAGCAAGGACAAAGAATGAGATTCGCACAGATGAGGATAGATGTTAACTAATATATGAATGTTATAGAAGTGGACTGCACGAAGCCGAAGCAAGCAACAGCTAGCAGTTCTACCACATGGATAGCAGAATAATTAGGCGAGCTCAAAAAGACGGCAGGAGGCTCTGTCTTCCAGTCGAGAAATGCATCTGAAACAACGGACCAGATTCTGCCCAACCTAGCCAAGACTCGGACCTCCAACGTCAGCTGGTATCATTCCGAGGCGCTATGACCTCGAGTGCGAGGAGGTCGTTTTAGTATGTGGAGCGGAGACCCCGACAAGCTGTTGGGGACAACGACAAGACTAAATTGGAAGTCCGGATTTGTCACGACGTAGATATCATTTGCAGTGCCGATGCTCCCTGCCTGGGTGAGACATGCCCACTGGAACCGGCCGCGTAACTCCTCAAATCGCCACCTTCGATATCCAGATGGTAACCAACGCGGTGCAGGAACAACGCTACTTTTGAGCCAATGAACATCGATTACCTAAACCATACGACGGTTGGATAAAAGTGGGGCTTTGTACAATACCGCGTTGGTTACCATCTGCCAGGGGATAGCTCTTCCCACCACAATGAATAGTCCGAAGTTCCTCGCTGGCACTAGTGTTGTTTTAGCGCGGGAATACCCGTTCCACTAGCACTGTGGGCCGGCTAAATCACATCCCCGGCTACATGAGACCATCGGATTCACTAGCTCCATTTTCGATTAATTTCTTAGATTAACTAGCAGGGATAACTCCCAACTTACCGGATTTAGACTATTATTAACATCCATTACCAGCAAAGAATGGTAGGACTACAGTACCTTACGAACATATCTCTCTAATTAAGGAACGTGCATATATATAAAGGTGGGCACGTGAAAGCTAACTTATTCACGCAGCCTAGCGCCGACTCGGGCCCAGAGCTGCGAACTCTAGTAATACCTGCTGCAGTCTACCAATATCTGAACAAATAAGGGGTAAGGCGAATACTACATCTCAGGTACTGGATTCGAGGATAAGCAGAGTAGAAGACAGAGTCGTGACTACACATATATACAAAAGAAAAGTGACAAGCCAGAAGTTACATCATTACTCTCCTCCAACGGGCTCCAGCGTATAATATAAATTAGCAAGCTAGCTAAATACTGCAGAGCAGACGAAGGGTGTTTCTGCATAGAAAGACCCGTGGTTCCGCGTAGAAAGGGTATCCATGCTGATCCTTGCCCTAAATGCAACATGATTGACTAATCGGCTTACACGGATCCGAATGACGAGATGGCATTGACCTTTCCCTCACAGGCCGGCTTCCGCATCATCTCAAGCCTCCGCTGCAATTAAACGTACACAGCCCCGCTCGCCTGAGCTCTACTCTCCGGTGTAACGATCCTGTGTCTCGCTAGGAGCTAGCTTCATTCTCCCACAAGATTATGTCCATATAACCTCGTGGAAATCGTCTTCCTCCATCCTCAGGTTACTCAAAGAAGCCATCACGTGGCGTCGTCGGCGCATAGGGTAGCCAGATCCCGCTACGGCACGCTTTTGACTCCTTAATGGGTGAGTGGAACCCTACCAGCCCAGCCCGTTGGCTGTTTCCTACCCTACAACACGAGCTCTAATCGAAACGCTGCGCTACGACTCGCGGTAGGCCATAGCGTATGGCCCGACTACACCCAAACCCTAGAAGGGATTTCCTGGAAAGATGCACACCGGATGATGATCCCGGCTCGAATTACGGCGAAAATTACCACGTCGGGAAGGTCAATTGGCACTCTAGATTGCCGTACCACTAGAATTTTCTATTGCCGGCATAGGCTTCTGGACCGTAGTCCAGGGTTAAGTTTTGGACTGGGTTCGCCTTGACTAGTTCCCGGCCGGTCAAGAGTACGTGCTCATGACGACGCTACAGAAAGCGAACCCGGTGCTCGATCGTGGGATGAAGGTGTTGCATGGATTCCAACATCTCGATTCCCCTCCGCTCAAGAAATTCGAGCTGCGCTTCTCCAAAAGTTGTTTAGAGCTGGGCATGGACTGCTTGACCCTGGTGTTCTATCACTGCGACCCAGGCCCAACTAACGTTATAGTGGACCAGAGTGATGACTGCCTCGGCATCGACTGAGAAACCGCCCGGGTTCGTACTAAGAGAATGGATTAGGACTAAGTTCCGCGTTTCCAGCGGAATGAATATATCTAGCAGCGACGAATTGGACTAGAGAAGGAGGGTGATGCTCCGCATGGGGGAGTTGGGGTTCTTGACGTCGTGAAAAGAGTTCGTCGCCTGGACTAAACGAGCTTACTAGCAACATGCGTATATAGTATTACAAACTGACATCCATGGATATTCTGAATGCGGGGGCCGAATTTCGCCGTCTGCCGGAAGTCGAGATCGTAGGATGAATCGTCATCCGGCCACTGACTAGAAGGAGGCGTTTTGGAATTGTGTCCATCTCTTTCTTTGGTAGTTCAACTGGGAGAGTCGACGTTTCCTGACGATTGTCACCCTCTTGAACGTGATTACGAATCCCGAGATGCCCTGTTTAAGTCAATCAACTGATGGGCGGCTGCAGTTAACAAAGGAGAAAACAGGTAGGCAGACGGTTACCTACTACGTGTTCTCGGTGCTGGCTAAGCAATCGCCGGAAAAGACTACCCGGGGCCCCAGGTACCGCCCTGCAATTCACCACCGTCATGTGTAGTCAATCGCCTTCGACCGCATCAATTACTCAATCCTCTGAGCCCGGTTCCCTAATTCCATACGGGAATCCTAGTTCTTCAGACATCGCCGACCAATGATGACTGCCTCCTTCATGGCAGGATGTTGATATTGGCAAGAAAAATTATTTTACCCTGTTAACCACTCGTCACGGCCTCGTCACTACTGCCTCGTCATTGTGGCCAAAGTGGCGACATAATTAGCAGGAAATCATTTATAGTATAACCAATAAACATCTGAAGCTTCTGACCAAGCGAGAACCGAAGAAGCCAAGCCAGCTGATTCGGAAACGACAGCCACCATATTCAAAGAGTAGTTCATCAACATATTTCATCATATTCAGACTATAAAGCCCAAACACCAATTTCAAATCCAAGCATACGATAAAGATTCGCAGTTCAAAGCAGAGACCTCGATTAAACCCATGCACCCTCCGTTTTCGCTTCAGTCGTAATGGATAATAAACTTAACGTACATGCTCTCGGGTAAACCAATTGATTCAAGGCCCCGTCGATTTTTGCAGATCCGAGCCTTGATCTTCCCGCTCTACGCTCTTCATGGACGAAGGGAAAGGAACTTGGTTCTCAGCCTGAAGTCGGTAAAACTGCGGAGTTTGTTTCGAGGTATGAAAGAGAGTCCGAAGCATCGGAATGGAGATGGCCATGACTGTGCTCGCGCTCTCTGCAGTGCCATATATCAACAAATTCACGCTATCGGCTTTTCATATGGTCAATTGGTGTGTAGAACGAGCGGTACGAGGCGAGGACCTATGTACGTACTAGTGTCATCACTTTCAATAGCTTTAACCGTGGTTATCTTCAGGAAAGACGTAATCCCGGCGCTATGCCGAGTTAGCTAGCATTTGGCAATTGGGGGAATATAACGCCATCTCGCACTCACAAAATACTCATACTCATAGCTATCAGGGTGCCCAACTTCTCCCTTTTGCTAATTATAGAAGCCCAGATAATTACCCACGGAAGCAGCGCTAGCACGATGTCGACCGCACCAGAGTACGCTCACAGCCCGGAGTCAGTCAAGATATTCATCAACGGGGCTTAAGTACTTACCGGCTGCAAAAATATTATAATAGATAACGGTTCTCCGCGGCCAACATTTTCCGTGCGATTGGGGATGCCATAGCCTGTCCAGCGGCCAACACTGAACCCAGTGAATCGTAGCGTTGGCACCCAAGACAAGGTTGACCGTGATGACGATGAACCAGAGGAACCCCTTCATCCTGCCTGTTGAGATGCGCAATAGCGTAAGGGCAAACGATATCTTACTCCATAGGGCGGCAACAATTGAAGCGAACCCAGCGGCGTAGGAGAGGAGCAGGACGTTATCAAAGTTCTCTGGTAGGATATCTGAGTTACGCCTTCCATACCCAAGGCTGACGCACGCAGAGAGCAGCGAACATGACACCGCGAGAGCTCCCTATTAAGATCGGCCGTTAGAAAGCGTGCAAGCTATTAGGCTTAAATCCTGAGGTATAAATAGCTTACCCAACTTGCAGTGAGGACGTAGTCGTCCCACCAGAGCGACCTCTTTCTCCGCAGCTTAGAGAAAATGCGAAGGCCTAGGAAAATTCCGGCAAGGGCTGTTAACGACCATATGGTAGCGTTCAATCGCGGACCGTTATCAACCGCTGGCTGAGCAGGAGTCTGAACAAGGGCGTTGGCCGCTGGCCGCTGTGCGATTCTTGACCGAAGGCTCATAATGTTCAATTGTGAAAGGTGCCGCTCAAATTGCGTTACGGCCACGTCCCATGTTGCCAATTCGACAGGAAACTAACACTTGGATCGCACTGCAAGGCGCCAGTCTCGAGGAACCGTGAACTATCGTGGTATTTAGTATAACCAACCTCTCGGTGCTATGGAAAGTGGTACCTCGCCTGGGGAGCCCTGCGATATATGGGGCCTTGCCCGGGGTTTATCTGATGAGCTGCCGTGGTAGATCACTGACGATGACATTCTCCTAATCCCTTAAAAGGCTTTATTAGGTAGTCTGGCCCGTAATTTTGTACGAATATCAAACACTTCCCTCACCCGATTCCTGCACTCAATCGAATATCATTTTTTTTGACCCGGTTCCAAAGGGTCCCGGATGATCATACATAAGAAGAGTCTGGTTCTTGTTTCTTGTCCATACCCCGCATCTGTCACGAGCTGACCGTTTTGGACACCCAGAGCGGTCAGGCGCGGCAGTAAAGGGTAAACTACGAGAAATCACGGACCAATGAGATTGGGACTTTTAAGATAGCTTAATTTAGCCTGGGGACTTCTGGCACTATTGGATCAATGTGATAGTTTTTGATGCTAAAAATCTTTTGTAAGATAATTGATCCTCGCAAGTGCCAACTAGTGCGCTTGCAGGAAACAATCCGAGTAATTTATATACGCCAGGAACATAAGTAGTATCTTCAGCCTGTTATCACAGTATTGCCTGAAGCGCACCAATGCCATTGAGAGACGGACGATTACTTCCCCAGTTGGATACCTAAACGACGAAGATAAGTAAATGCGCGTCCTAGTGTTATATGCAGTTTTTTTTTGTCCGGAATATATAGGCGTCCTCGACACGCCCGGCAGGTCTCCAGAGCACTTCGTCAAGCTGATTTGTTTTCACTGAAATCCCGCACCTTTACCATCGGCTGAGAAACAGCTATCGACGCATTACTTCAATGGTTCTATATCGACTGACAATGAAGCAAGTCCCCAACTTCACGGCGGCCATAGCCGTTCTCCTAGTGGCCCTGCTCTGTGCCGTGCTCGCCGACCCGTCGCCCGGCTGTGGCAAGACGCCGACGCTGGGGAACCAGCAGTACACGATGCAGGTGAACAGCAAGCAGCGGCAGTACTTCGTGAGGTTGCCCGACAACTACACATCCGACCGCCCCTACCGCCTGATCTTCACGTACCACCAGCTAGGCGGCGACGCGCAGAAGATCGTCAACGGCGAGGACACGAATCGCGGTGGCGCCCTGCCCTATTATGGCCTGCCCCCCTTGTCCAACAACAGCGCCATCTTCGTCGTGCCGAACGGGCTCAACAACGGGTGGGGCAACCAAGGCGGCGAGGACATTACCTTCTTCGACCAGCTCGTGGAGACTGTCTCCAACCAGCTCTGCGTCGACACGAAACTCATCTTCTCGACTGGCTTCAGCTACGGCGGCGCCATGTCGTACGCTATCGCTTGTGCCCGCCCCGACGTCGTCCGCGCCGTTGCCGTCCTGTCCGGTGCCCAGCTGAGCGGGTGCCAGGGCGGGACGCAGCCCGTCGCGTACTACGGGCAGCACGGCACGTCCGACTCGGTCCTTCCCGTGAGCGGGGGCCGACAGCTGCGGGATCGGTTCGTGCGCAACAACGGGTGCCAGTCTGTCACGCCCGAGCCGCAGCCGGGGGCGACGTCGGTCAAGACGGAGTACCAGGGGTGCCAGGAGGGATACCCCGTTACGTGGGTCATCCACAACGGGGATCATAACCCGTCACAGAGGGATGGCAACACCATTTTTGCGCCCGGCAACACGTGGGAGTTCTTCTCGCAATTCGAATAGTGTCAGAAGGTGTTGGATGACGCCGGCATGAATCCGACTTTCCGGGTAAAAGGAACAAAATGGTCAAACGGAACTCAGGAATCAACAATTTCGTCCAAGACACCGCATAGAACCCCGTTGTCCTGAAAGCCCCGTAAAATGCACTAAAAACGGCTAGATCGGGGACACCGGACCCAACGTATGTGTCGCATACAAAGATGTGGAAACGTCACACCAACGATCAGTGGTTTGGGAAGGTTTGTGCCAAATGGAAGCTGTTTTTGGGCAAGGGTTTTTTTGGGAGATAAGAATGGCCGTTTTTCCCATCACACGTAGGATCAGCCAGAATTACAAGGGCGTTTTCCCACTTTTGCCCCACATTTCCAATAAATAGACTTGCGTTGGTCTTCTGTACATGAGGGGAGAATAGCACATTTGCATAATACCCATACAGCCCTCGTATTTTGGTAGCCTGTGTGGTGTGGTACTATAAGCCCCCAACCCTGTGCACGCAAATAGAACGTTGTCCTTCATTGCCGAAAATATGTGCCGATCGAGCTTCAGTTGACAAGAGAAGAATACGGATTTCCGGATGAATATGAAGCTCTAGGTTGTTCTTCCTCAAGAGATTGCTTGAGTGCTCCATTGGATCGGAAAGCGGGGTAGTGTTAGCGCATACAGGAAACGTGCAAATGGCAAGTCTAGTTCCTAGAAGGCAGTGCATTCCGTTCCTGAACGCTTGCAAATAGGCTATTTGGACGTAGAACGACCACTAGCTACTAGACGTGTCCGCGTTGGGCTTCGTATTGGTCCATGTGTGTTCCTAGGACAAAAATGAAGAAAATCGCCGACAGGATGCCATTTCGCGAGAAGATATTGACTTGATTGATATATAACCGCTGCGACCGATTCTTCGGGTAGTTACTTTATGATGTATGTTATTAATCAATTCTGAAATTGGATGACAGGTGTCATTGATGCGCGAGACCGGCCGTGGGTCGCGTGTGACGAGTTCACGGCAATTCACTCGGGAGATCCCAATCAGAGGGACGTCCAAGGCAATCGCCGGCTAAATCAATCTTTGTGACCGCGCACACTCATTCGTGCGCTTGTCGCACCGTCGTAAATTATAGGCGCGATCGATGTTCCAAGGGCAGTTAAGGTTTGGGAAGAACCATCGGGGATAATCAGGATGGGATAGATACAAATAAAGATCTTGCCGAAGAATTTCGTGGGCTGTAACCCGTCGAGCCTCGAGGCAGAGTCTACTTGTTTGCTTCAGACACCTCTCTATACCACCTGCTCTGTTAGCGAGAGCATTACCTATCAACACTTTATGGAGCTTACGAATAGCACAATTCTCGCAACCGCCTCCCTATCTAGCTACAGCCCAGCTTACTTCCTAGTTTTTAGGAGTAAGAATGGTAGAGCTAGTTAAAAGTAGGTTTTAAATATAAAAAATACTAAAAATAGTTAAAGATTTCTAATATAGCTTATACTTAATAAATTAACTTTATTAATTAATAATACTAAAATAAAAATAATTTTAATTTTAAAAATAACTAAAATAAAATTAATATATAAATTAATTTTATATAAATACTAATAAAATAAAATTTTAAAAGTTTATTATTATAAACTAATTATTTTAAAAACTTAAAATAATTAAATATATTAAGACGGAGTAGTATAGCCTACCCGTATACTATAAGAAATAAGAAAAGAAATAGTTAGTTAAATAGATCTAAAATAGTTTCTTTAAAAAGCTATTATAATTCTACTTATAGAAATAGAAATAAAATATTAAAATAGTTAATTAATAAAAATAGAGCTATATTATAACTAAAGAAGGCTTTTAAATAAGGAGAATATTATAATTCTAATACTAGCCTATTAATAATATTAGGTAGATATAACTAATAACAGGATTAAGATAGTTATCTATTAGTAGTAGAGTAAAGTAATTAAGTAGTATTTATAAGATATAGATAAGAAGTATATATTTAAGTATAGAGATATAGTTATATTTAAATTAACTACTAGAAAGTTTTAAAAGATAAACTAGATATATAATAAAAATTATAATTTATATAAATATTTTTCTTTTAAGCTTTTCTTAAAACTAATAGCTAATTTACCTAGTCCTTAGTATAGGACTATAATAAACTAACTATTAGTCCTATTAGTTTTTAGTAAACTAGTAAAACTACTTTTTAATTTTATTAATTTTAATTTTATTAGTTTATAATCTCTTATAATTTATCTTTTACTACTATATTTAACTACTTTGAAGTTTTAAAATAATTAGCTTATAATATAATACCTTTTCTCCTTTAGTTTTTATTTTTAAAAACTTATAAAGAAATTATTTATTTATTAATTCCCTATTTTTATAAGTTTTCTCTTTTCTAATTATTATTAATAATATTATTTTAATTAATATATTAGGTTATATTAAAAAATATTATTTTTTTAACCTAGTTTTCTTATAAAAAAAATAAAAAATTAAAATTTTAATTAAATATATTATTTTTAAAGGTAGTAAAAATAATATATTATATTGATATTATTACTATTTAAAAAGGTTTTATAAGATTATTTAAAGCTTATTTTATTATAATTTTTATATTATTATTAAAGTAATTTATAATAATATATTTATAGCTTCTTTTTATAAATATTATTTTTCTTTTAGTTAGTTTTTTTATTTATAGTATTAATACTTTATTTATTTTTATAGTTTTCTAAACTATATCTAAAATTAAAAAAATAAAGTTAGTAATTAAGAAAGTTAAAAAAGATTTAATAAAGATCTTAAGTTACTTAGTTTACTTTTATAACTAATAGAAATTATTAAAGAAGAAAAGTATATTTTTATTTAAGTAAAGTATATAAAAGCTTATAGAAAAAGAGAGTATTATATTTTTAGAAAAATAATAACTAGTTAATAATATTTAATTTTTAAATATATTTAATATAGTTAATTAAAATTTAATAAGCTTAAATTTATTATTAATAGATCTTAGGACTTTTTTAGATACTTTTAATAGAATATAATAAAAAGTTATTAATTTTATATTAAATATTTAATAGGCTTTTAAATATTTAATAGGCTTTTAAATATTTTTATTATATTTAAGAATTTTTTATTTAATTAGATATTTAATTTTCTTATTATCTTTT